ACTATCTTGTCCATGTCGTACTCTGTCAACTCGGCAAATCGGCGATTCTCCTTCTCGACCGGCATTTCCGCTTCGTAATTAATTKGTACATCGATCTCAAAACCAGGTAGTTGGATGCCGAGCATCTCGTCATCATCAAAAATGTTAAAAAGAGGCTCTTCTAGTAATTCTGCCATTTTTAAAATCTTTTCATGTGATTTTTTTACGGAAATCGCGACTGAAAAAAATGCTGACGCAAGTTTATGATATATCCGCTGATTCATAACAATTAACCAATCAGAGCGCGCGTTTTATAGTATCTATGTTATAAAGCCGACTAAAAGAAAAGCTGTTACCTTCAAATTGATATTGTCAAAGATGGTAAGCCAAAGTTAGGGTTTACTTCACCAAATAAAGCTTCAAAGTGCGAATAGACGAATTCTTTCGTTAACTGTACATTAATCTGTGTTTGTAAATTTGTACATGCAGTACTGTATTCTATTCTAATGTGTGTACAGTATACAGCTATTAAAAACGTTATCGGAGAGACTATGGTTACATTTTCAACAAAATTTCGCTCATTGGATTCACCTTACTTAGAAATTGAGACTAAACGGACTAAATGGTGTCAATGTTTACCACAACAAATCATCTTACAGTACAAATCAATTGTTATTGCCTTTCAACCACCAAAACCCATGGCTACTTTCGGTCGTGCAATCGCCGTTCGACCATTGACAATCGCCATTTTATCCGACAACCTTTTTTGAAGTAGCTTTATTCATTTTATAAAATATAGCTATCAACCTTGAATTTAGCATTTGTATTCCTTAACACTACAGTACGTGATGAGATTCGTAATTTTTTACATTTTTTGCCACGTAAAAAGCTAAATTTTAGGCAACCTCTATTAAGCGGTCAACCTCTATTAAGCGGTCACTTGGTTTTTCCCGAGTGTGACCGCTTAATAGAGGTTCGACTGTAGAAAACTTTGTCAATATGGTACTTTAAGTATAATATATACAATATGAATAGGCGAGCTGAAAGCGATTTTTGTGACGAGAACTGTACTCATCTCGCAATGTCGGCCTCGCTATCTAGAGTCATGGCCCAGATTTACACATAGGTTTTGGATAATCTTTTTATGTTATATTATTCTCTGGAATTATTTGAGTGATTCCAGTGTCTCTCCTTGCTATCTTAACACGACCATTATAAAAAAAGACTGTATGTGGTGCCATTCGGAAGATATACAATAAAGCTAGAAATGATTCGTCGGATTTCGAATTTTTTCACTGACAATTTGCAGAAGTTTAAAAACTCGATTGAATCAAATTACTGGCCAAAAAAATCTTGACTTCGTACGAGTTCAAACAAAACGACATTGCTTTCTTGCAAAGACCTTATTATTTAAGCTCMATTTAACGTATTCGTACGACGTCAATATTGGGAGAGGTGCCTTAATCGCAATATTCATAGCACGCATTCATTGATCCGTGYTTTGGTTAAAGAGTATTATTTCCTTGTCACGTGATTGAAAATAGTAAATTGAAATATCTTGTAAATCAACTGGAACTGTAGATCCCCGGTAAATTCCGTCCACGGAAGATTGTTTTCGCTGATAGGGAGGCGGCGTATTTCAACTAAATTATAATACTCTACTTCTCAATATTCAACCTCAGAACTTCAAGTGGGCTGCTTACATATACGAAGATGATAACGAGAATAGTCCAAGAAAACGAAACAATCAGCATTGACAAGGTACAAATTGCTTTTATARTTTGATAATAATCTAACAAACAACTGTTGTGATCAAATTTTAAAAATTACTGTTTTCAACTGCAATTGACAACACTCAAAAATATAASGTGTTTGGGGGCGATGATCAGACGATTAGACGATGTAACATAAGAGGAAAGGGCGACCATTGTTGGCCTCTTTACAGTAATAATTTCAAGCCATGGGATTATTCGCTTTATCGTCATTGAATCACATAAATCTAACAATCAATTACATGTCTCTTCTTCTGGAATAATGATACATACATWACATAGGATGCCATCATTTTAACAGCATAGAGAAGATTTCGTATGACTGTCAAAACCGATGCTACGAGTTAGGTTAAACGCAAATATACCTGAACAGGTGACTTCGGATAGCTCGAATAGTTTCCGCAACATGCTTACTTTTTTTTTAGATCTTTGAAATAGTATACAAGGAAATTAATGGAGCTGATGGTGATGTCCATAAGGTAAAGATTGGTCCTCGTCTTTTTTTTTTCTTCCGAAAAATTCMAACAGAAAAATTAGCTTTTRTTATATTGGCAGCAAAATGAAATCGTTGCGATATTTGGGGGCAGTGTTCTTTCACAACCGTAATTTTTTTYYYTTYYTT